AGTGTGCATGGTATGATCTCAATTCTTTTATATTTATTGAGGGCTGCTTTATGTCCCAGTATGTGATCTATCTTGGAGAATGTGCCATGCGCACTTGAGAAGAAAGTGAATACCTTGGCCTCAGCATGTAGAGTACTAAATATATCTGTCAGATCCATCTGGTCCAAAATGTCTTTCAAGTCCATTATTTCTTTAGTTATTTTCTGTCTGGTTGACCTATCCATTACTGTAAGTGGAGTATTGAAGTCCCCTGCTATTAGCACATTCTTATCTATTAGCCTGTTTCTCTTTGTGATTAATTGTTTTATATATTTAGGAGCTCCCATGATTGGTGCATAGACATTTATGATTGTTAGTTCTTCCTGATGGATAGACCCTGTAACTATTTTTTTTTAATTTTTTTAAGTTATTTTTTAAAAAATATTTTTATTTATTTCTAGGAGAGAGAGAGAGACAGCGTGAGCAGGGGAGGGTCAGAGAGAGAGAGGGAGGTACAGAATCTGAAACAGGCTCCAGGCTCCGAGCTGGCTGTCAGCACAGAGCCCGATGCAGGGCTCGAACCCACAAACCTCGAGATCATGACCTAAGCGAAAGTCGGACGCTTAACCGACTAAGCCACCCAGGCGCCCCAAGAGCCTGTAACTATTATGTAATGCCCTTCTTCATCTCTTGTTATTGTCTCTAATTTAAAGTCCAGTTTGTCTGATATAAGTAGAGCTACTCCGGCTTTCTTTTGATTTCCAGGAGCATGATGTATATTTCTCCATCCCCTTACTTTTAATCTGAATGTATCTTCAGGTCTAAAATGAGTTTCTTGTAGACAGCATATAGATGGATTTTGTTTTTTTATCCATTCTGCTACCCTATGTCTTTTGATTGGAGCATTCAGCCCATTTACATTCAGTGTTATTATTGAGATATGTGGGTTTAGCGTCTTTGTGTCCTTTGTGGAGTTCATGCTTGTGGTGGTGTCTCTGGTATCTTTGTTTCTTGCAACCTTTCCTTCAGAGCGTCCCCCTCAGGATTTCTTGTAGGGCTGGCTTAGTGGTGACAAATTCTTTCAATTTCTGTTTATTTGGAAAGGTTTTTATCTCTCCTTCTATTTTAATGACAGTCTTGCAGGGTAGTGGATTCTTGGCTGCATATTTTTTCTGTTCATCACATTGAAGATCTCTTGCCATTCCTTTCTGGCCTGCCACGTTTCAGTAGATAGGTCTGTCACCACTCTGATAGGTTTGCCTTTGTGTGTTAGGGCCCTTTTCTCCCTAGCTGCTTTCAAAATTTTCTCTTTGTCCTTATATTTTGCCATTTTTACTATGATACGCCTTGCAGAAGGTCGATTCAGATTACGTCTGAGGGGGGTCCTCTGAGCCTCTTGTATTTCAACGTTTACTTCTTTTCCCAGGTCGGGGAATTTCTCTGCTATAATTTGTTCCAGGACTCCTTCAGCACCTTTCCCCCTCTCTTCCTCTTCTGGGGTTCATATGATACAGATATTGTTGCGTTTGACCGTGTCGCTGAACTCTCAAACCCTTCTTTCATGTTCCTGGATCAGTTTGTCTCTTTTTTTGTCAGCTTCTTGTTTTTCTATAATGGTGTCTTCTAAATCACTTATTCTCCTTTCTGCCTCTTCAATCCGTGCACTGGAGGCCTCCAATTTATTATGTATCTCATTTATCGCATTTTTTAATTCTTCATGCCTATTTTCATTTTCCATTCTGTCTGTAGCCATAGTTTCTTTGATGTCCCCTATGTTTTTATTCAAGCCCAGCTATTAATTTTACCATTATTATTCTAAAATCTTGTTCAGTTATGCTGCTTATATCTGTTTTGAGCAGTTTATTAGCTGACATTTCTTCTTGGAGTTTCTTTGGAGGAGAGCTCTTTCGTTTCGTCATTTTAGTTAGCTCTCCGGCTCTTGTTGGTTTTATTTTTTTATTATTATTTTTTAAATGTTTTATTTATTTCTAGGAGAGAGAGAGAGAGAGACAACAGGAGCAGGGGAGGGTCAGAGAGAGAGGGAGTCACAGACTGAAACATGCTCCAGGCTTCGAGCTGGCAGTCAGCACAGAGCCCGACAAGGGGCTCGAACCCACCAACTGCGAGATCATGACCTAAGCGAAAGTCGGACGCTTATCCGACTAAGCCACCCAGGCGCCCCTCTTGTTGGTTTTAAAGACCTGTTACCTCTATGTATCTATGAGCGCTGCTATATCCAAGAAGACTCTTTGACTGTCCAGGGCCTATCCTTTCAGAGAGTGTTTTTTGAATGATATCTCTTGGTCTCTCTTGTTGGGACCTTGGTTATTTTATATTCCTATTCGTAGTGATATTTGGGACTCTCCACCTTGTGTACTCTGGCTTGTTTCTTGAGGTAGCCATTAGAAGTCTTTCTCAGTGGAAATTACATCCTTTCTCTCCCAATCTCTTGGGTGTGGTATGGTTTCCTATGGCTCCAGATCTTTTCCGTGTGATGCCTGGTTGCGAGTGCAGGTACGGAGCTCCCTACTTCTCCGCCATCTTGCCCCTCCTCAATGGTTTTGTTTTTAATCATCTGCTTCTATGTTGCATCTACTTTCTCTGATAGTTTATTCAGATTGGACAAATTGTCCTGTAAGACCATCTTGGAGTCTTAAAATTAAAATTTATAATTTAAGATATGTATATGTATAATTATATGTATATTTATTTGTATATGTATAATTATACATTATAATTATATGTATAATTAGCATGTATTTTATTTCTGTACTTTTCTGTTTTTCCCAGTGAGACTGGTAAAACTTTAGGAAATGATCTGCTTTATGAGTAACAGATTAGCAAACGAAACCATTGTTAACTTACTCCTTTCCATTTCCAGCCTCAAGATTTAGTGAAATTAGTGGCTTAATAATGATACACATCAGAAAACTGAATAAATATTGCTGAAGAAATGAACTGCTGCACAAATAAATCCTAAATAAGAGATTAATGTGCAACCTCGTTTTTTATTCTATTTCTGTGCAGTCTTGGAAGTGGATCCTTGCACCAGGCATTCTTTATATCTTTGAAAGGATTCTCAGATTTTATCGCTCAAAGCAGAAGGTTGTGATTACCAAGGTAATGAATATATACTTTACCCTAGCTGTGATAAGAGTCTTACTCTTCCTGATTATAGGAATAGATTGCCATGTTGTCATCCTAAAGGGAATAAAAAAGAACTGGAGAGCAATATATTTTAGTTCCTCTAGTGTTGGACAAAACTATGAGAAAAAGGGTTTGGCAGAAATCATCAGAATGGGTCTATGTCGGAGGATGCAGACATGTGGCCTGAGCCAGATCTAGTCCACAGATATATTTTGGTTGGCCCGCACACTGTTTAGAAAGTTGAATTGGTTGCTAACATTTAAAAATCTGGTTGGAGGCTTTAACAGTAAAAGAAAATGTTATTTCTATCTTATGAAGAATTAGGCAACCTGATATTTATTTGTTTATTTATTTATAAAATAGATTTATTTAAATTTATGTTAGTTAATATACAGTACAGCATAGGTTTCAGGAGTAGAACCCAGTAATTCATCACTTACATATGATACACAGTGCTCATCACAAGTGCCCTCCTTAATCCCCATCACCCACTTAGCCCATCCCCCCACCTGCATCCCCTCCAGCAACCTTCACTTTGTTCTCTGTATTTAAGAGTCTCTTATGATTTGTTTCCAGCTTTGTTTTTATCTTATTTTTCCTGCAACATAGAAGCCGATGATTAAAAACAAAAATGAACATAGGTTCATCTGCTGTGTTTCTTAAATTCCACATGAGTGAAGTCATCTGATTTTTGTTTTTCTCTGACTGACTTATTTCTCTTAGCATAATACATTCTAGTTCCACTCACATTGTTGCAAATAAAAAGATTTCATTCTCTTTGATATCTGAGCAATATGCCATCTTCTTTTTCCATTTATTAGTCAATGGACATTTGGGCTCTTTCTATAATTTGGCAATTGTTGATAATGTTGCTAGAAACATGGGGTGCATGTGCCCCTTCAAATCAGCATTTTTGTATCCTTTGAATAAATACCTGGTAGTGAAGAATCAAGCAACCTGATAATGCTGAGTTGCAGTTTCATAGTGCAACCACTGTCTGGACAAAGTAACTGCTGCCACTTTTAGTTTTTTTTTTTTTTAATGTTTATTTATTTTGGAGAATGAGAGAGACAGAGTGTGAGGGGGGGAGGGGCAGAGAGAGAGAAGGAAACAGAATTTGAAGCAGGCTCCAGGTTCTGAGCTGTCAGTGCAGAGCCCAACTTGGGGCTTGAACTCCTGAACCGTGAGATCATGACCTGAGCCGAAGTCAGATGCTTAACCAACTGAGCCACCCAGGCGCCCCACTGCTGCCACCTTTAGAAAATGTTCCTGCTAGCAGTACCCCACCAAGACCTGCCCTCCAGCTTTACTCTTTATTTCATCTGCCTGCCCCTGTCACCATTTGAATTTACTTTCTCTGGCTTCTGTACTCCATTCATAGGTTGTCATGCACCCATCCAAAGTTTTGGAATTGCAGATGAGCAAGCGTGGCTTCAGCATGGAAGTGGGACAGTATATTTTTGTTAATTGTCCCTCAATCTCTTATTTGGAGTGGCATCCCTTTACTCTGACCTCTGCTCCAGAGGAAGACTTCTTCTCCATCCATATCAGAGCAGTGGGAGACTGGACAGAGAATCTCATAAGGGCTTTTGAGCAACAGCATTCACCAATTCCCAGGTAGGTCCCCGAGACCAGTGAGTCCCAGATGAAGACACAGACAGGCAGAAAAAAGAAAGCAATTTCTCATTGAAACTTAAGTCTGGTACAATAGAATATGATTAAAATAAACAGGCACTAAATGAGCCATGGGAACAGCTATGTCCCTGGGAAGATGTTTGAGGTTGGGGGTGGAAGTGAGACTTCACTTGCCCATTGTCTTCTGTCTTCTGCTAGGATTGAGGTGGATGGTCCCTTTGGCACTGTCAGTGAAGATGTTTTCCAGTATGAAGTGGCTGTGTTGGTCGGAGCAGGAATTGGGGTCACCCCCTTTGCTTCCATCTTAAAATCTATCTGGTACAAGTTTCGGCATGCAGATCACAACCTTAAAACACAAACGGTAACTCCCTCATACCACTTTGCATCTGGTCTGGGCCGGACAGGTCTATTGCTTTCATGGGTTAAACCTTACAATTGACAAGAGAGTAACCATCCCTGGACCTATGAGAGTGAGTGGTCACTACTCTCTGCCAAGGCATCCGCTTCTACAGATTCATCGCAAGAATAAGGTCTTCATTTTCAATTTGGAGTTTAAAATTACCTTGATCCAAAGATGATGTTGGAACTCTTTTTCCTTAAGGGAAGTTGTAAGAGCTCTGGACATTCATGCTGCCTAAAGTCTGCTGCTCTGTAGAAGTAATTTTTCAGATCACTCCTAGACTTGATCAACAAATACAGAGTATTGTGCATAATCATGTCACCACAATGTACATCATGAAGGTACTTAGTAAGGCTATGTTCTCTCTTGCTAATTCCAGATCTATTTCTACTGGATCTGCAGGGAGACAGGTGCCTTTGCCTGGTTCAAAGACCTATTGGCTTCTCTGGAACATGAGATGGAGGAATTAGGCAAAGTGAATTTTCTAAAGTACCGTCTTTTTCTCACCGGATGGGACACCAACATTGTGAGTTCAAATAACATACTAATTCCATGTTAGACACAAGATAAATGTTAGACAAGGTCATAAATGCTGATTGGAAATAATTGTTTCTTATGATTCTCTATCTGTCCTCACCCTCACCCCTAAGTTTAAAAATGGCTAAAAGAGACAGCTATCAGGATCTGCTTTTTCTAACTTTTATTTCTTTGGCTCCAGGCTGGTCATGCCGCATTAAACTTTGACAAAGCCACTGACATCCTGACGGGTCTGAAACAGAAGACCTCATTTGGGAGACCCATGTGGGACAATGAGTTTTCTACATTAGTTAATGCCCACCCCAAGTAAGTGATTTTCTTCTGAGTTAAGTTTGCAGTTAGAGTTTAGGAAAGATATTATAGCATGTTGAGCATTCTTGGCTAGAGGCAGAAACTATTTGCATCATTCTCAGATTCTTGCTTAAAACTGAAAAAAATTTTCATCTGGGGTTTTAGCCAAATAAGTGTTATGACCTGTAATTGATGAGATGTTTGCTGTCCCTGCAAGTCCCCATTAAAACAAGGCAAGGAGACTCAGTTCCAATTAGTATTACAGAATAAAATGGAAAACTGGAAAAATTCAAATGTATTGTTTTTGGCCTTAACAATCCCTACTTAAATTTTTTTTAATGTTTTATTTATTTCTAGGAGAGAGAGAGAGAGAGAGACAGCGTGAGCAGGGGAGGGTCAGAGAGAGAGAGGGAGTCACAGACTCTGAAACAGGCTCCAGGCTCCGAGCTGGCAGTCAGCACAGAGCCCGACGCGGGGCTCGAACCCACAAACCGTGAGATCATGACCTAAGTGGAAGTCGGACGCTCAACCGACTAAGCCACCCAGGCGCCCCAACAATCCCTACTTAAAGTAAGAAAGGTTTAGAGTGTATTATCTAGTTAACTGATGACCTGACCTTGGTCTTTCTGGAAGTTTTGAGACATGCTAGAGCATATAGGAAAACCTGGTGCCATGAAATCAGCCATTCCAATGAGAAAGAGATTAAGCTGATCATTTAGATAAATTCCTGGAACAAGTTGGCAGCTAAGGATCAATTCAATTTCACAAACATTACTGATTATCTTCTATAAGCTCAGCAATAATTATTCTAGGAGGTTTGGAGGTTGAAAGAGAAATAGGATATGGTTCTTGCCCTCAAGTAGCATACATTTTAATAAGAGATGCATACAATCAACCCAAAGCAGAATGATGCATTCCATGAAACATGTACATAGATATCGAAGGAAGGAAAGTGTATGCCCACATAGGGTGATCAGGGCAGGCTTCATGAAGGCAGTGGTGAGAATACTTAGTCACTTGGATTCAGATGATCCTGGGTCTTAATGTTAGTTCTGACACTTCCGTTCCTGGGACCTTGAGCTAGAAAATCCTCTGATCTTCAGACTTCTTATCTATAAAATGGGGATTATATGAGTAAATGCCTTCTCTTCTCACTTGCAGAATTGTTGTAAACATTAAACATTTACCTATATGAAAAATGCTCTATCAACAGGAAAGCAGAATTTAAACAAAAGAGATTATGTTAATTATAGTGTTGAGCTGACCATAGTTGAAGTTGTGAGAATGGATGACATTCCCAGGAGAGAGTGGCAGAAGACAAGCATATTAAGGAGTGCTTACATTGTGTGGGAAGGGAGGAAAATGAGCCAGGGAAGAAGTGGTGTCACAGAAGCCAAGGGAGGAGATATTAAAGAAGTGGAAGCATGTCAGGGTCCAGGAAATGCTTATTTAACTTAAAGATGATCTAAGCATATTTATAGACAGAACAGAAACCAGTACATAGGAATAAAATAAATACACAAAAATGGGGATGGGGCACCTGGTGGCTCAGTGGTTAAGTGTTCGACTTTTGATTTCAGCTCACGTCATGATCTCGCGGTTTGTGGGACTGAACCCTGCATTGGGCTCTGTGCTGACAGCACGGAGCCTGCTTGGGATCCTCTCTCTCCCTCTCTCTGCCCCACGTACTCATGCTTGCTCTCTAGCTCTCAAAATAAATAAATTTTTAAAAAAACTTTTAAAAATGGGGAGAGGGCTAGGATGGTCATAATAAAAGATGGGCAATAAGAGTTGGTGAGGAAGTAGAAAAATTGTAGGAGAGTTTCTCTCACACTTTTTGTGGGAATGTGAAATGGTGCAGCACTTTGGGAAAAACTCCAGCATTTCCTCAAAATTTTAAACATAGAGTTACCACATGACCCAGCAATTTCATCCCTAAAGTATATACCCAGGAGAATGGAAAATAGCCTTTGCTCTCCACACAAAAACTTGTACATGAATGTATGTAGAATAGCTAAAAAGTGGAAACAATCCAAGTATCCATTAACAGATGAATGAAAACAACATATGGTACATCCACATAATGGAATATTATTCAGCTATAAAAAAAAAAAGTGAAGTACTCGTACATGCTAGGACATGGGTGACCCTTGAACACCGCACATTAAGTACAAAAATCAGACCCAAAAGGCCACATATTGTATGATTCCATTTATATGAAATGTTCAGAATAGGAAAATCTAGAGATAAAAAGTAGATTTGATGGTCTAGGGCTGGGAGGAGGTAGTTGGGAGGAAATGGGGAGTGACTTCTACTGTGCGGGGTTTTTTTTTGGGGGGGGTGATGAAAATGTTCTAGGATTAGATAGTAGTGATGGTAGCACTACTTTGTGGCTATACTAAAAAGCACTAACTGTACACTTTAAAAGTGTGAATGTTATCACACGTGAGTTATATCTCAGTGAAGTCAAAAGGAGGGGAGAGGAAGGAAGAGAAGGAAAGAGAGGGTGAGACTGAGAATAGTTAGATTATCCTTGGTGAGAAGGCTGACCACCTCTTCAGTGTGAAAAATTTCAGAGTGGGGATAAATGCACAATGGATGGCCCTAATGACAACTAACACATATGCACTTGCTATGTGCCAGGCATTTTTCTAATTGCTTTACAAGTGTCTTTTGTTTAAATAAACCCCAAAACAACCCTGTGAGATAGGTACTATTTTTATCCCTGTTTTACAGGGGGGGAAACTGAAACAGAGGTTAAAGAAACGCCTAAAGTCACACAGCAGGGATAAGTTCCAGTTGTTATTTCTACTTATTATTTTTAAGTTTATTTATTTGAGTGAGAGAGAACACAAGTGGGGAAGGAGCAGAGAGAGGGTGAGAATCTCAAACAGGTTCTGTGCTGTCAGCACAGAGCCCGATGTGGGGCTAGATCTCACAAACCACAAGATCATGACCTGAGCCGAAATCAAAAGTCAGATGCTTAACTGACTGAGCCACTCATGTGCCCCATCAAAGCTGTTATTTCAACCCAGAAAGCCAGGCTCCAGGGTCTAGCACTCAACCTCTACCCTGCACCAGATCTCCTATCTATTCTCCATAGACTAGGCAAGGCTGCATGCTGAGAGTGACAGAAGGCTGGGAGCACATTTGGGGCTTGCAAGCAGAAAAGGTGATACTTTTCTACCATGAGGTGATACAAAGGTGAAAAAAAAGATACTTTTCTACCAAGGTGATACAAACTACCATGAAGAATGTGAGGGAGTCAACAACCGAATCTTTATGCAAGTTTGTTGGGAGCAGTAGAGGCCTAGTGGAGGCAGTTTCTCCATCCTCATGAACATAGCAGCTTTTGCTGTATTCTCGCCCTTATTATTGTTCCATTCCTGCAGATCCGTGGTGGGAGTCTTCTTATGTGGTCCTCAGACTTTGGCGGCAAGCCTGAGTAAGTGCTGTCACCAATACTCCAGTCTGGATCCTAGAAAGGTTCAATTCTACTTCAACAAAGAAAATTTCTGAATTACAGGAATGAGGGTGGTAATCTGCATTTAGTCTCTCCTCCGAATCTCCAACAACTTACTTGGTCTGGTCAGGTGTGAGCAGCCATGTAAGGACAGGAACATGCCCATTCAGCTCTGACTCCCTGGCATTCTTTTTTGATTGGATTCAACTTCAATGCCACTGATCTTCATGATGTCACAATCCTGGGATCCTTTCTTGGAAAATATTACTGAATCCTTCTGGAATGCTATGACTGCAGCAAGACCTAACAGCAGAGGTGGTTGACAGTTACACAATTTGACCTCAGTTGATAATGTTGATTCCAAGTGTTATTCTCTCCCAGGCATTTGGTGGTAATTTCCCCTCCTCACTTTCAAAGAAGATTTCTAAAGTAGGGTTATGTTTTAAATAAAAAATTTATTGACGAATTAATGACAAAACAGAATAAGCATAAATAATAAAACAACAAACATAAAATCATCAAGAACCCCATCCCTATATAACACTATGTACATTCTTACTGTTATTTTAAACACTGTCTTATCTAGTGTGAATAGCAATTTATGCTTTACTTGTTTTTGCTTGTCAAGAAATGAAGGATTTTCCTCTTAATGAATGAATCTTTCAGTACTTTATCTATGCTCTACTTTTGGAAAAGAAGATCTTGGAACTATGCTAATTGTAATTGAAATTGTGTTACAATTGAAAGATATATTGTCATCAGCTTGCATTGTTCTGTTGGAAATAACTGCAAAAACTTCAACTCCATTTTAGGATGACTTAATCAACAGGGCTCTTTATTGCCATTTTTATTAAGGGGAGTTTTATTAACGTTTAGTTTTAAAAAAAGATAATTTAAAAGTTTGATACCATGTTTTGGCTCTCCCCTATTTATTAAGGAATCATTCACCTAATGACATAAGCAAAATGTCTTTTCTCCTATCAGAATGCTTTTTATTTCTGCCATGCTCTGGGATGTTAGTAGTCACAGTGAATCAGTAGAAGCGAAGAAGACTGGGGCTTTTAGAAGAAAACCCACACTTCATTGTGCCCAAAGACAATTCAACTCAGTAGATTTGTAAGAATGTTTCTACTAAATTAGCATTATAGCACCTATTTCTCTACCATTAAGTGACCAAAAATGAGTAAATGGTTGTTACTAATTACCCAGAAAACTTTATGACTTGAAAGATTAGTAAGATCCATTTTCAGTAGCTAGTCTGAACAAAATAAAAGTTATCATGGACTAATGATAGCTAATTGTTTCATTTATTTATCAGACATCAGGAAAAACTAGTGATGGGTATTTCCGTAGTAACTGGCTGGTATACCCCTACTATTGATTTCCTGGATTTCAGCTACCTAAATTAAATTTTGTAATGATTTAGGAAAATGCACAATGGAACTTTGATGATGTGGTTCCTTTTAGACAACTACTGACGATATAATATGATCTTCATTGACTTTGATTTGGAATCTTAGTGTTCCTTGAAACTTATGAGTTCCTAACGAGAAAGGCTTCACTCTTTGTTTCAATGTCCAAATATATTGACACTTCAGGACATGATTGCTGCTAAAACCAATGCATTAAGGCCTAGAATATTCATGGAAGTAGGCAGAAAAGGTAATGATAATAATAAATCCTATGAATAATCAACATCCAAGGCAAAATTGGGGATGAGCAGGATACTCAGCTTCTCAGCTGTTTTGAGCAAATTTTCTTCCTAAGTTGTAATATGAAGTATCTTAGCAAACTTTTGTTGTAGTAAATGTTTACACATCAGAGTAGAAAATCCCTCAATTTCAATGTCTCTCATAAAGTGATTATCATTGCATTCTTCTGCTTGACATGTAAGCAATATGCTATTACATTCTCTAAGCCTATGGCAGGCTTTTAATTCATTTGACCATAATCCTAACCCAGGGGGTTGGATTCTGAGAATATAAATAGGCTCAAAGAGTAGTTCCAGTGGAACTTTACTAATTATTAAGGCATCTCTTAACCTCTTGAGGTTGGCCTGATGGAGAGAAATCTTGTTCCTCCTTAATGCCACTATGAGAGAAAGAATGCTAGGCTGGAAGCCATAGGTTAGAGCCAGTGGCACTAATTATCGTCCTATCTATCTGCAAGGAAGGAGGCAGGGGAAGGCCTAATGAGCAATCTGACTGCTTGTGCTCTATATTTGGTCCTCTTAAAATAAATGAGAATAATGTAAAAGTTTCAGGGTTTTCTATGTTTTAATTTCCCAGAATAAATTTGGTTATAGAGGAAGACTGTAGGTTAGTGATTATCTAGAAGGTAGAATGAAATGTATTTTGTTCATTTGATTTCTATTTAGTTTTTATTTCATCTCGAACATGTGAAGTATTAGTGGCTTTTTTAACTTTCAAGGTTGACTACTGAGACTGAAGAGTTTTAGGACAGGTAAATGTCAACAGTCTCTTGTGTTGCTGACACACTTGAACCAGTACCAATACAACATTTTTGTCTTAACTCTTAACTATGCATGTGAATAAACCTGCTGATAAAAAAAAGTACATTTTGATCATTGGATTTTTCCACATTAAGTACACTGTTCTGCTAGGCTCTTTGATTTGTTGGCCTTCTGACCATTTTATAGCTCTAAGCATGGGCTATTTTCTCCCAGTAAACTCAGAAGTTCTAGCAAGTTCTCAAAGGGCAAATTGCATTATTTCTGCTGGAAGCAGACAAAGCAAAAACTAAGTTCCAGAAAACATTGCTTCTGAGAAATTCTTGAATATCATCAAGAAGAATAAGTGGTTAACTTAAAAGAAAAACAGAGCTATGGCAATATAACAGTAAAGTACAATACTGCCGTAAGGGTTGAAAACACATCTAAGGTTTCACCCTCGGTGGTCAGCTTTTTAAAAGCAAAAAGGTCGTGTATATCAATCTGCAGTATACTAAAATTGTGTTCAAAGTTTATTTCAAGTCACAGAAAATATACAAACTAAGACAACAGAATGGACTGATTTTGTTCTGAGAGAAGGTGATGGGAATCCTCCACCTGGCACCAATTTGAGTCATTCAGGAGTTAGGATGCAGAAGTCATCTTTTTGCAACACTTCAACAAAGTTATGGAATAAATTTCCAGATTTGCTGCCAGGTATTTTTGAAAACCTGTAAGGGAAAGTTGGGAGAAAGCCATTAGAAACGGAGACAAAGTTCTCTTCCCCAAACATCAGGAGAAAAAAATTAAAAGTAGGGGAGGGAGGCTATGCAAAAGGGCAAATGACCAGGGACAGATTCCTAAAGTGTCTGATTCTAGGAACCCCAAAGTAATCACCCCTGACCACAGGGTTTCTCAACCTCAGCACTAATGACATTTGGAGAGAGGTAAGTCTTTGTTATGGGTGAGGGGGGAGATCCTGTGAGTATAGGATGTTCAGAAGCATCTCTGGTCTCTACCCAGTGAATGCCAGTAGTACACCATATCCCCTAAAGTTGTGACAACCAAGAACATCTCCAGACATTTCCAAATGTCCTTTATGGAGCAAAAGTGCCTCTGGATGAGAACCACTGATCACACACAAATTAATCTAAGTTTCAAAAATGGTGAAAACTGTGTAAGTTTTGTATTCAACGGTAATGTACCAGTGTCAATTTCTTGGTTTTGTACTACAACCAAAAAGGTACCGCATAACAGCTTCTCAAGATGTTATCACCGGAGGAAGTTGGAGGAAGGGTACATGAGGCTCTCTGTACTATTCTTCACCCTTCTGTGAATTTATATTAATTATTTCGAAATAAAAACAAACAAAAACCCTTGCTCTGTGGTTTATGTCCAAGGCTGTGGGGCATGCCTTCTCTGACATAAATAAATTAGAAAAAGTAAAAGAGAAGAATAGCTTTTAATCTATTCCTCTAAATATAATAGTTAGCCTATACTTTTACTAAAAAACTGCCTCAGGTATCTGGACTAAAAAGTTAAAGTCTAGTTAGCCATCCATCTAGGACAGCTTCCCATTATACTTTATAGTCACTTAAAGTCTAAATACAGATTCTGGTTTGGATGTTTTAATGACATTACACATACGGATTAAAATACAATGTATTCAGTAAAGACTGATAAGCAGTGTAAATGAGTTCACTATTATATGATAATACGTGGATGGGAATTATAATACAGATGGGGTAGAAAGTACAAATTAAAAATGTGATATTCCAGCTGATATTGGGACAATGTGAATTTTAAACTGTTTTTTAGGAAACAATTATTTATGAAATACAAGATGTTGAGGGAAAAGGTTTTTAAAAGAAAATCAAATATATGGAATCAGATTAGGTCACATGATTATGATCCCTTTTACATGACTGATAAGCAAGAAAAATAAAGGGCAGCAGTGTACCACAGCCTCTAAAATGTAAAGGGACTGATGGTGATGGTGGACAGTCACTACCCTAAAATACCTGCTCTCTCAGTTTAACCTCAACATGGTCAATATCATATAAATACTGGAAACTAAAATATTTATACATTTTATTGAAATGCTTTGTATTTTCTCCATTTTGATGGAGAATATGTGGAATAAAATAACACAACTGATTCTGGAAGGATACACACCAAACTAAATTTAGAGGTTTTCTGGGGAATGAGATTTGAGGAAGCAGAGCTTCCTACCCTGACCCGTCTACATTTCTGCATTTGATTAACTTTGTAAAAGTGATCGCATGTTACTTTTGCCATTAGGAAAGAAAGGTTAAAAAAAAAAGATTACAACCAACTCAACAACTGAACAAATACCTTGCTGCCTTCTACTATTCTGACAGAAGCTGACCTAATGAAGGGTTAAGAGTGTAGCCAAGAGGACTGCAGGCTCGGAGAGTCTTGAGATCAGGAGAGTGTTTTTGGTTAAGGATGAAAGCATCTAATACCCCAAATGCACAAGGAGCTTGTCCGACTTAGGCAGGTTAGGTCTGCTCACCTTTCAAGGCGCTCCAGTGGATTTCTGTATTTGTTCTTTTAAGATCAGGATACTCTGCCTCTGCTCAGGAG